TCCGCTTGCGTGTACTCCTCTTCTCAAGCTGTCAGGACATATCATCATACCCTATGGTTCTCATGATTTGGCGTTCATGCATCACTCAACAATACTTTTGCTTTGTGTTCTTCTATATATGACCTTTGTTTTGATTCTTATTTTACTCTACTCACTAGAGTTATGCAACAACGCTTTTGGTCCAACAACGAAAAAAGGGGAGACGATCAGGAGGCGCGATTTCTCCGGCTGTCACCAACTTAAAACTCCAGTGTAGTGCTATACGAGTCTTCAAAAAAACCAGATAAAGTGCATTGGATTATCTGTCTGAGGTTACCACTTGCTAAGTCTGGTGGCTTTTGCTGGAAAACTAACCAAAATACTTACGAATTTGTTCTTAACTGCATTTTCATGAGTTTTTGACCTTCTCAATTGCTGTTTTGAATTGAATCTAAGGTAGGAAGATTGAGCAACCCATGCAACTATCTAGCCCAGCCATAGTTAGCATTTACCCTCTATAACCTTTGCCTGAATTTACGCTTGAAACTCATTGTCAGTAACTTTCTTGAACTTCCGTTTTTGGGTTAGTCTCGGCTGCTCTAACTTCTCTTTGAGTTCACACCACTTGAGGATCCACTTTGTGCAGCTTTTAGAAGTATCTTAGGGCTGCTAGCGCTAAATTGGGATGAATTTAGCACTGGTGTTCGTGTGCGAACTCTTTTTACGGCTCGCATGTGGCCAATCAAATTCTGGCAACAGCTGTGTTTCAGTCCTTCCTACTCCTTCAAAAACATCCTTTACGGGGTTGCTTTGTCTTTTTTTTTTCTTGAGACGACCTATAACTGTCTTGTAATTACATAACTTATCTCGAAAACATAAAATTCTTTCCTGAGATCTGCTGGAAAACTTGTTAGATCGACGTCTTTGAAGCAATGAGAGCTAAAAAAAAGAAATCGAATGTGTCATATTTCAATTTTGCGCTTGATAGCAATCGTCGCCTTTTCTCATGAGCTTCAAAAGCGCTGCATAGTCGTAAATCATCATTGCTAATGTTGTTCGATAAGCTTGTCGATGATGCCTAGATTAAAAATTGAAGAAAAAATGGGTGGAAAATGGCAACTTTATGCTGGTGACCTTTATAGACTGTAACGTTTTGCTAAATGGAAAAACCGGGATTTTTGCAGTTAGTGAATAGTTTTGAATGTACAAAATTAGTTTGCCCAGCTGTCAACCTCAGGAATTCTTTAGAAACAAACAAATTTTGAAACTTGGTGCTATACTAAGTTAACTATGAAACTTTACTTAATGGAATTGAAATTGATGAGAATTTTTTTGAGCGAGAGCTGACCAATGTGCTGAACATAGAACTTGGCCTGCTGCCATGTTCTTACTGAGCATCACTTCGGAACAAGTTCGTAGTTTTTCGTAGGACGGGTTCTTAGGCACATGCCGTAGGCTGCGTTCATACTAATCCGGAAATGTGGAAACCTTGAAACTTGGAGCAGATCTTACTTATCATTGAGATCCATTGAGAACATAGATATTGTATATATTCGTGGAAATACATGTGACAAGAGTCCAAACGCATGTAGGGTCGGTCGAATATGCACAAAAAATCCAGCATGCTTGGAATTTATGTATTTCGAGCAAAACATTCTCAAGGATTTCAAATTTCTGGCGGGCTTGTGGGTTTGTGCTTCAAAGTTAAGCAGCAAAATGGTTTGATGTTTCACAGAATTTTCTCTACGCATGAAATGCACGCAAGCGGGTCTTATCGTAACAAAGAATTGGCAGTTTTGATCCTCTGACATGATTTGTCCACATTTTACCGTCAAATTCCCACAAAGATGTCAAAGACTATACGTATACTCAAAAACTACCCAGATCGGCGTGGAAGTGTTTGGAGATAGTGCGCTCCAGTTGAAAAAACGGTGCTCTAATCAAAATGGCTATGGAGCGCACCAGCAACTCCTCCCAGGTCCGAGCCCTTTTACGGGCGTTCTAGTCATACTTCCAGTCGGGGTCAACCGTGTGGTTAAACGCACTTGACTTGCGTGTCGTAATAAATGGAATGGGTGAGGGAGTCGTAAAGGGTATTCAGAAATTATCTCCCAGAAATGGGGGATGCGGCGAAAGAAGTTGAGGAAGGAAAACATTAGAGATGGATGTTGCTCAAACGGACCATGTGGAGCGTATACATGCTACACATGCGTACCACAAATATGTTAGTCATCTTATGGCACAGAATTGAGAAATATTCTACGTAGACGACAAACATGACCCACATTTGATCAAGTCACATAGTTTTTGGCAGTCCATCGAGCTCGGCTATCTCTATCCAGCGACTTTGGACATTTTCCCGTTATATGGTCCAAGATCGAAGATTACGACAATCCGCGGTCGTAGATGAGTGCTTGATCCTTCAGCTTCTGAGCCATGACATGCAACTATGCCGTAGTACAAGAAGTACGGTAAGAATAGCGCAAATCACTAGAAGGTTCGCAAAGGCGAGGGCTCATTAGCCGAATCTAATCTCTACAATCACACTTTGTAGATGGAGAAGCACTGATAACATATTCAACATATTGATCTTCGTAGCAAAAGTCTTCGAAAGAACTTGAAGCTGCATAGTAAACTTGCGATCGGGCTGCACCTTCTCCGTCATATGAATTTGCAAGAAAGGTTCCAGGTCTGTTTTAGGCATCATATACATAGATCTCACTAATCTGTATAGAGGACTTGATATACTGAAAACAAACATCTTTTTCACAATATACAGCACTGTAGAAAACTTATGCATTTGTACTTAGAAAATTTCGCGAAAGTGACTACGCTCCATACTCGTATGAGGAAAAGGAGTGATATTCATGGTTGTTTCCAAGTTATGTTGCACAAACTCAAGTCAAGAACCCTGCACAACTCACAACGAGCACAACTCACAGCGAGAGTAAGTAGTTCATTGATGAACATTCACGACTAGACCATTATCGCAGGTTTTTCTCATTTTAAAAACCTGCAATCAGCTGAAAGAGAATTTTGATTTTTGATGGAATCGATTTTACGCTGGATAATATGCAAAAGAGATTTGACATTGTAGTATAGATTTTCCTCATATTATAGTGTGCCTGTGGTGCCGAAAAAAAACGTAAAATTTGTTCGTGAACAAATAGCTATATTTATGCTTATCAGGCTTATCAATTGCAGAGTCGGGAGCCATCCGCGCAGGGCGCGGAGAGTGTGCGAGGTGTGTATTGCGCGTCACTTCTCTTTCCTCGTGCACTTTCGCCCCCTTTTCTCTGCGCTTCTTCCAGTCGTGAACTGCCTTCAAGTACGCAATAGCGCTGCTCTCCGTGCGCAGCGCGGACGGCCTATACCCGCATCTAAGCTCCTGCGGCCACCTCGCCTGTATGCACCTCTTACAGGACATGCTCACTTATCTTTTCTGTACGCTCCATTCGCGATTAAAGCTCCATCTTTCCTACGCTCGTGTTGGGAAAGTGATAAGAGCGTGTTCGCGGAGTGACGCAGAGTCCATGCGAGGTTGTCGCGCGAGAGCGGAGAGCTGATGCACCCGACTCTACAATTGACAAGTCCTGTAGCTATGCATGCCGGCCACTTGCGCCCGCAAAATGTTGACATTACTTTCATGCCTTACTGTTAACGCGCGATTACCACATTTTATTGGTACTGCAAGCATAAGGATTAAGCGAAATTCTAGTCGATTATAGCTTGAATTTTCCAAGGGGAGTTGACAATCGTATGAAAGAATGAAATTTTCATTGATGTGATTCAAGCATCATCGTACTAGGCCACGTCTTTGCATTGTACGCATCGCAGCTTCTACGCGTTGTGTGTTCATGAGGTTCAAATATCTGCTATCTTATTGGCTAGATTCATGGCTAAGCGAGTCAAACTTCGCCTCTTCCTGTTTATGTTCGCTGAGCAATAATACAACTACTTAAAGGCAGTGTCCGGGCAAAAACTCGATTTTGAGATTTTGTGCTTATTTGGGCCTATTCGCCATGCTGAATCCGAAAACCCACATTGGAGAGCGCGAAAACGACGAAAAAGGGCTCTAATACTGGAGGGAAATCAGCAAGTGGGCGGGGTCTTCCCCACGGTGAATTCATGCTCCCAGCTTCGGGGGCGATCTTTTTGATTCCGGTTTCAAGTCATTCGTTTGCACTTGATCGGTAGTGATGTCAGGGCGGCTAACGGATTCGAGAAAATTTCTCTGGAAGCTGGAAGCGTGAATTCACAGGGGGGAAGACCCCGCCCACTTCTGATTTCCCTCCCACATTAGAGCCCTTTTTCGCCGTTTTCGCGCTTGATATTCCCCTTGAAACTGGACCCCAGGGTTGTATTTCTCATGGATTTATGGCGCAGCCCATCAGTTTCGCGTGGGTCCTCGCGCGAAACTGATGGGTTGCGCCATGAATTCATGCGAGATACGATCCCGGGGTCCAGTTTGGAGGCGTATATCTCAGCGTTAGTGAATCACCTGCGCTGCCGCTTGAGCAGTGCCTTAGTTAAGACCTCAATATTACTTTCCACATAAAATTCCCACACGTCCGGATTTGCGTGGACGCTGCCTATAATAGCGCAAAATGCTTGATAGAGGGCATTTTCCGCTTTGATTAGATATGGTGATGATTAGCGGACACTTCAGCATGTTACCTATTCTCAAAAGCATTACCTGCCCAAATTCAACAAAAGCCAATGTGGAAGTAAGTATGCCTCCGTAAGATTTTCGTTCAGTATACAGCAAAGTTTACCTACGCTCTGGCACCCTTGAGACAGTTTTAGAACTGTTTGCATTCTGTTGAACTAGGACCGTTACCATTCCGCAAGATTGTATGAAGTAGATGGTTCAAAATCTTCAAACAATTAGTGCCACGTGCTCAACCCATCTTACACAGTTCTGGTCATTTGGCCATGTGATAGACTATTGACGGAAGTTCGAAGTGGATCCGAAGTGTCTGACAAAGGCTCCAAATAGATATGAAGAAACAGCGAGATACTTCAAAATCGCAACTCTTCATTCAACAATATCCATGACAATGTGGCGAATTTGTGCAACAACAAGCAATAAATGCGAGTGATGGCTTCTCGGGAATTATGTCCAAGATAGCAGAGTAAGTCAGGAGTATATGGCACAATATGGTATTCGGCTGTACCATTCAAGAAAAAATCAGTAAGTGGCGGATAAGTGAATAATGCTTAAGCAAGTACCAATTTGGATACACCGTCCCACTAATTCCACTATCTCACAACGCACGAACCGCCATTTTCCCACCATATCCGCTATACTGTGAAGCTGCAATGCCACTAGTGCGAGAGACTGAGAACCTTCGAAAGCGAGATTCTGAATGAGGTAGATACGAAAGCTGTTATCCTATCTGTTGCTAAAAGTACCAGCGATAATTTCCAAGCGTAACCATATGAACATACCGTGATATTTTTGATAACTTCCGTTAAGTGAAATGAGAATTTCGTGTACACAGTTATTTCAAGAACGCCAAGCGAAGCACTTTGGTTGGAAAGATTGAAAAGCCGTGCAACAGCCTGAACAGCAGGTTGATTAAGGGGTTCATCAAACCTAGAATCTTCTTCTTTTTTTTCGTTTTTTTTTTTGCTTATAAGCTCAGTATCCCATATTACACCCAACACGCAGAACGCAACTTTCTTAACACGTTTCGGACCGCGAAATCGCGCAGCGAAAAAGAGTGTACTTTCAGCCGTTAGCCAACAAAGGGACCTTATTTTGTAGACTGTGGGCTTCTTCTGTAATCGGCATGTCAGATAAGCTCCACAGCCAAAGTTCTGATGAGCGAATTCGAAGTGTGTGACCTTTGTCGTTTGAAAGGGACTTCTGTGCTTCCTTAAAGATAGGAACAAGAATCAGTTTCTGATAGTATTCAAAAGTATCTTAGGGTGCCTTCATACCGCTCCCGCAGCCGCCGCTAGTCGCCCGTAGCCGTTTTAGCGCACTATCTCAGTATTCCAAGGCCTTTCCAAAACGTAGAAAGGTTAAGTTACTCGTAATCAGATATTGAACAACCCCATCAAACCAAGTTTGAGCAAGATTCATGGTTTCAATTTTGGGATGCGGATACTGGGATAGTGCACAAAAGCGGCTAGCGGAGGCTGTCGGCGCGGTATGAAGGCACCCTAAGTTGTACACGGTACACACCATTATTGTACAGGGCTTTTCAACATAAGAGTCACAGCCTCCGCTTGCGCGGCTCCTCCAACGCGGCCGCCTCGCTCAGGCCGCGCGCGGCGTTTGCGGCGTATCGCCCGGGCTTTTGCCAAGCTTCAGTCGACGCGCAGCCAGCGCCACGAACGCTGCGCGGACCTAAGCGTGGCGGCCGAGCGGGGCGGTTGTGACACTCAGGTTGTAAAGTCCTGTAACTACTGTTTTTCTCTTCAAATCGAAGCAAAGGAAAGTTGTGACGTCGCACGCGTCGTTCGCGTTGCCGCACTTCGTTGCAACTGTTGTTAATTTGTCCTCACATCTCCTAAACAGATTTCGGCGGCATGCTCTACAAAGTCACTTGAAAAGTAGGAGTTTAGGACTTGTTAACCTTGGATTAAAAGTAAACTTCCTGCAAACGTCAAAAAGACCCGTCAATGCAGCGTGCTGCACCACGTGCAGCACCGGTCCGAAACATGTTAGAGTCGACTGCACGAAATCGCCTGGTTGCTGTAGTCTGAACGCACGCGATGTGCCTGCAACGCAGCTGATACGGGCCCTATGATGACTCATGCGTGCGAATATCAATGTTAGCCCGCAAGAGACACGCTGCGGGCGTTCAGCCCATGCGATTCAGCGCAGTCCTGTACCTGCGGTAGCGCATCATAGTTTGATTTGCTTGCTGCCTTACCGAAGCACAAAACTCTGGAAGGGAAGTTTCGCTTCCCGCGTCTAGTTTGGCATGAGAGAGAGATAAAATGATTCCACATCATCACCCAATGCAGCTGCAGATGGAGACAAGTGAAATGTCAATCAAATGCACTTACAATCGAAGCGTTGTCATGTGGCAAGAGGATATCATGATTATCGTCGAACTCGTAGAATTTTTCCTAAAATCACCATACAAACACGCTGCTCTAGAACACATATGAATCCCACTTGTACTAGTGCTTGCTTTTCTTTTAGCAATTCGATGATTTCGGTTAGGTTCTCCGTCAAAATCGTATCTTGTTCAAAGAGTTCTATAGTGTTGCTTATGAGATCCTGAATTGAACCACTGCAGGATGACTCAATCACGCAGCCTGAAACATTTCTCTATGAGCACAGGAACTCATAAAAAGCTAACATTCGCTATTTTTGAAGAAACTTGATTACTTACAAGTAGAACCACCCACCTGCAGATTTTTGTGACCGATGACCCAAATTCGGTGGATTCCTTTTCAAGAGATAATCAGCTTCAGTGTCTCGCCAAGAAATGCACAAGATTTGACAAAATGAGGAAACGGTGATGGAGTACTCATTCAGGTAAGCCATTATTGTTCTACTGAGCTGCTTTTCGTTCGTGTCCCTCCTACTCTTTCGTTTCCGAACCTTTCGTACGATCGTTATAGATGCTGCATACCGCAACTCGATGGAACTTCAGACTTTTTAAGGCCCGTATACACGTACATCCGCGCGGGGAGGGAAGGGGATCTAAGAAAGGATGGAACATATCTCGCTACTCTTATCTTTCTTCTTTCTCTAACCGGCTTATGAATGTTCTCATACCCTCAATGCGCATAATAGAGTCAGGTTACTGCATACAACCAGATTTTCACCCCCAGGGGACCACACAAGATAGTGAAAATCTAATCTTGTGTGGCAGTAACCTGGCAATTATTAGGCGCAGATATGAAGGTATGAGAACTTTCAAGAGCAAGATGGAGAAAGAAGAAAGATATCTAGAGTAACAAGATATGTCGCACACCCTCTCAGATTCCCTTCCCCTCCCCGCGTGCACACGGGCCTTACTATTATTTCACGCCTTGATGATTTAAAGCTGTCATCGATGTTTCAAGTTACAAAGTTCCTAAGCAAGAATATTACCCCATAATAGATCGGGGAAGATTTTTCTACACATAAGCCATTGGCTTTCTATATGATGGATTAGTATTGAGGATCAAAAAAGCTGAAAGATTCTCTCTGAATGAAAGACCAGCTAAAAATCTTATCTTCTCTATGGAAAGAAAAAAAACATCACTTAGACCATTTGCAGAATCAGCGACGTTCGCAGCTGCAGGATCAGATGTAACACTTTTGGTTTCCACATCCCAGTCATCAAACTGTAATTACAAATGCGAACGGCAAAACTTTAAGCACACAGGCGTACCTTCTGTGCAAGCTTACGCAGCTCCACTTCCACTTTGACAAGATGGTCACACCATTGTGTCAACAGTGGCCTAGCTTGATTAAACTGCTCGGCGTATGAGGACAACTCTTCCATCTGGAATGGTTTATATCCTTTGCTTTATTGCGAGTGGCGGGAAGGGATCGTTAATCTAGAAAGTGACCAGAGAGCACGCTCGCGAGAGAGATGCAGGCCTGAATAGCGACCGAAGCCCCGCCGCTCCCAGTGAAATAAACGGCAGCTCAGACATGAGCTTTGAATGAGAAGGGAAACTAATGCTGTCATTTATCAGTTACATTACGCCACAGGTGCCAAGAAAGCTAGAGCAAGACGGCTCGTATACGCTTTTTTAAGAAATCATCCAATGCGCATCCTCAGGAAAAGGATCGGTGGGGTAACTAATCTAAAAATTTTTACAGATTTGGCTAAAAGGTTAGCTCACTGATCACGAAATCATGTAGATTCGCTCGATAGCTCGATTTCTTGTGGTTAGGGGGGGGGATGTTAAGTGAGCCAAAATGTCACTATTTGCCTAGAACTTTGTCAAAAAGACTTTTACTACATGCTGAGAACGAACGCGATATCAGCAGCTCCCAAGAGGAAACCTGCGAAGCTGTATCGGCTATTTGATATGCCACCCGACTTGAAACTGTGTCGAGAAGTTGAAAAGGTTCTCTTACGTACAGCCGGTAATCGTACAGTATAGCGAAGAGCCTTCTGAACCATTAGAATATATTCTGGTTTCTGACCCAAGCACAGACGACGGTAATCGTAGGAGAAGGCAGCTAGGTGGCGAAAATGCAACTTCGGAATTCAAACCAAGCACTTATTCTTAAAGTATCTTGGGAAAAAAGCCATACAATGAAGAATCGAAAACGATCTCGAATCATGTGAGATAACCTATTCGCAGTACGACGGAACCCATGAATTCAGATTTTTGAATTGCCTGCAGTGAAGGAGACGTTCTTATGGAGCCCCATCTGTACTACGACTATAGTATAAAAAGAATCAAGCTGAAGAAGGCGCATTGTAAAACAGCCTTCCTCTCTAACTGCTGGTGGAAGTTGCAGAATACTGACGAAAACAAGCACGATTGATTTGCTAATCAAACAGTTGGTCCTGCCAAGAATGTCAACCGAGCCTCAAAAATGTTGCGGTCTCTATTTGTTTCGCAAAAACTGAAATTGGAAATCCTCAGCTGATTGGGAGAAGGTGACGTCTAAGTCTTACTTACCGTCTGAAGGGCCGGGCATACTCCACGCGATCTCAGTCGCGACGGGATCTGGCAATTCGTCAAAATTCTTCAGATTTAACATTACCAAACTGCGCATGCATAGTGGGTATAACTTACGTGGATTGATGAGATGCCCTATCTTTTGTACATTTAAAATGCGCTCATAGTGAGTTATGAACAGTTGGAGTATTGCCAAATCGCGTCGCGATAAAATCGCGTGAAGTATGCCCGGACTGTGACGAAGAAACAACAAGATCGTGGCATGTGGATAATTCGTGTTTGTAAAGTATTTCACAACCATGACTGACCCCATGTTTCCTTTCTTAGCGCATCCTTTCTCGGCCGGTTATTGCTGAAGTGTTAACCCAGCAGGCTTCTGAAGCAGT